TACCAGAAGTTTACTGTATTATCGCGATCTCCACGATGTCCAGGTATTCAGCCGAGGGTCTGAGTGAGCAGGCTCTCTGTCAGTAAGTTCTACTTATGGCAGAATTACATTATTATTTAAGTGACTTGTACTGTAAATGAAGTATAACAGTGATATGTATGTTCTCTCCTTTACATTTCTATTACTTAGTGTGTGTTTTTACATTGTTTATGTGGACCTCTTGATCAGCCAGAATATCTGATCAACCCCCCGCTCTGTCCTGGCTCACTCCTAGTTCCATAGGTGCTGGTTGATAAAACATTTGCTGTAGTTGAACGGTTAATGGTGGAATCCTTATAATATCTCTAATTTCTGATTGATATTTCCATATCTCTAACAGATAACAGCTGTTAAGTGTCACAATTAAAGTAAAACCAGTGTAATTTTATTATTAAGAGCCAACCAGAACACAATCTGATTACTGGTTCTGGAGATCTTTTTTGGGATTTAAAAAATACTTAGCTTTGTTCATGCTGAATTAGAGCTGAGACTGCAAAGATGCACTATAAATACAATGTGTGAATACTAACTATGGGAAAGATTGTATTGAAACTAGGTGGACAAGTCCAACATCCAATTTGACAGCTACTATTTTAGTCAGTTGCTTGTAGTATTTTTCTGAACAAGAACTAACTGATCACATGTGGTCTTCAGATATAACAGGTGTTCATGTCTAATTCACCAGAAAGATGAAGCGTAGCTGAGTCATTGAAGCTGAATACCATTAATGCAAGATTATGGTTGTACTAATGCCTTTACATTGTGAAGATGATATTATTGTCTCTGAGAGCAAATCTTCAGATCATTTATTTGAACCTTAAAAGGGAAATTGCAAGCCACAGCTTGCAAAGGTCTCCTCTTAAAATGGAGTACTGTATCGGCCAAATGGAAAACCAAGCTGCAATTGATAAAATTGATAAAATGTTAATTCGGAGGAAGCAAATCAATACTGAAGTTTATGAAAACTTTGAGGAGTCTGCTTCTGGCTTAGAACAACCAGAGTGTAACATTCTGGAATGAGGGTTTGATCTGCGTCTGGAAAAGTGGTTTATTTGGCATCAGAACTTTAAATGTTAACATAGAATATTGGATTGTTTGAGCTAGCGGTTTCAATTTGAGATCTGTTTGTCAGGAGGTGACCAAAAGATGGCTGCTAAATGATTTTCCATCTTTTGTTGGAAAGAGATATTGATGACATTAGTGAAATTGCTTTTTCTTTTCTGATTTTTGCCCAGAAAAGCCAGCCAAATGCTGTTGAATCCGTGCTTGAATTAAACAAGGTTAACAATGAGTTGCTCTGGTATTAGAACAAAATCTGGTTGAATCTGGTGATTTGCTCCTTTTGTTCATTTTAATAAAGCAGTCAATTCTAGATCCTGTTTCTAAAAAAAAAATCATCAATAGCTTGCAGGAACAGCAAGAAAGCCAATCTGACTTGAGGCATCTGGATGGAATTGTTGAACAGAAGTATGCAATTTGAATATAGTGAAAATTTATTGCTGTTTAATGACAATATCCTTGCATTTGCAGTAAGTCAAAGATCTGTATACTTGATTCAGTGAGCATTGTGCAGATAATGGACCAGCATGTTATTCAGGTAGTCAATTTATGCTACAGGAATTTCCAACTGAAGTAGACGATAGGGTAGATGGGCAGCAGGGAATAAGTTCAGGAAGGAAGTGTTTCATGAACTGGTTTCCACCCTGATTGATGATTTTCAAGAAAAGAGTGATCCAAAGAAGGCAGTTTTTTTTCCTCTGAGATAGAGTGATATACTTGGAATATCAGATACAAAATGACAGGCAATGGAATTGGAAGAAAACTAAGCCTGAACACACATACTGTTTGGGCGATGATTCAAAATGCTTTCAATGACATTGAATTAAGTAGACGGCAATCACAGTTATTACCTGAAAGTGCAGATTTTTTTGGTTCTGGTTTATAGCGTGCTTAGAGCAAACCATAAATCCTATGAAGTTTAATAGAATGTTTCATTCATTCAAATTGTTACCGTTAGTACAAAGCAGGTTCATTTGAGACATTCGAGAGGACATTGCATGATCATTTGGATGGAAATGATCTGCAGGATTTGGGGAATAGGTGGGAAATTGGCACTAGGTAACAGTTCTGTTACCAGCATGATGGGCCAAAGTCTTTCTGAGCTATTATGATTCTGAGAGTACAGCAGACTGAGTCACAGTGTATGTGGGCAGATGTGTTTGAGAGGCGGCAATTCAGAATGTTTTTTTCTCTCCATCCACGTACTGTTTGTGAGGTAGTGTGTTATGGTGGTTTCATATTTAATCATTTTTGCAGATTTGAGTTTGAAGTGTTGGGAAACCTGAATTGTGTACTTTAAGATGTCAGTAAAAGGACAGTGCAACATTTTTCTTGAAATGAGGTATTGCTTGAAAATCACATGATTTGTGATAACTGCTTGTGTACTGGACACACTTTGCAATGTCTGTTTTGTGTATTGTTTGGAGTAGTTTGAGAAGAAGAACTCAGCCCACTTTTTTTTTCTGAAAAACCCCTTATTGCAGGGTCCAGCGAGTTAACTGAAGCCCTGGTCCAGTCTGAACACTGTTTGCCCTCCAGAAGAGGCTCTTAGAAGAATCCTCAGTACTGAGGTTCTTGAGCAATAATCATCAACAGAAATATTCCATGATTGAGAAGAAGACCTTGAGTTTGGTGTTGATGTTGCAACATTTCAACATTTATACTGCTAGTAATGTGTCTGAGACGATTGTATTTACTGATTATAATTCATTAAAATTTTTGGCAATATGTAAGGATAAAAATTGCAGACTGTTTAGATGGAGTTTATTATTGCAGCCATTCAATTTGAAAATTATACATGTGGTAGGATGTGAGAACGTAATTGCTGATGCATTGTTATGACTTTGATGAAGGAAGATGGAAGCATTTGGTGGTGGGAAAGACGAACTGAAATAGATTATAGCATGAATGTTATATAGTGAATGTTTGCATGCTTAGAGTCAAAATAATGTACATGTATTATAATTTGCTAAAAGCATTAGACTAAATGTTTTTAAAAATGAAAGCCATCTTTGTATATTGATGGCTTTATTAAAGGTGGGGGTATGACGATGCAATGGCTTTAAGGGGTTTATTTTGTCCTGGTTTTTGTTTTGACGAGTCTTTAAAGCAGAGGTGGTGAGCAGTCTACTCAGAGTAGATACTAGAATAAATAGTTTGAGGTATTAGGTTTTTGTAAAAGTTGGAACAAAAGAAGCACCCTGAATGGATGGGGTCAAACTCTCATAAAACCAGGATTTTTAGTTTTTGTTTTTCAGTTGTAGCAGTTGCTGAGTCTTGAAGCTGCAGTACATTTCTCTGTGCTATTCTGTCTGTTTTTCATAGAATCCCTACACTGTGTATGTAGGCCATTCAGCCCATAGAGTCCACACCAACCCTCCAAAGAGCATCCCACCCACACCCACCCTGTCCCTGTAACCCTGCATTTCCCATGGCTAATCCACCCAGCCTGCACATCCTGGACATGATGGGGTAATATGGCATGGCCGATCCACCAACCTGCACAAAGTTTGGACTGGGGGAGGGGAAACAGGAGCAGCTAAAGGAAATTCATTCAGACATGGGGAGATTGTGTAAACTCCACACAGACTGGTGGAATCGAACCTGGGTCCCTGCTGCTTGAGGCAGCAGTGCTAACCACTGAGCCACAGTGCTGTGATGTTTTTCCTCCTGCACTGGGGAATTGCCTGTGAGGTGATCTATTTTTCTGAACTTGGTTTTTTGTCAAGAGTGTATTTATAGGATGTTACTATTTTTGGACAATTACTGTTTAGGAGAAAAGTAATCTAATATTCCCTAAGTTTTTCAACAGAGTTAAATTATCACTTTTTTTTAATGTTTTAACTAAAGTGTATGAACGACATGTGTTTTGCTTAACATTGAGTAGTTTGACCTTTAAAATAGGAAAAAGTTAGAGTCTAGACTATCTTCTGAATATATTTTGAGAGAGTTTGGTCTGATCCATAACTCTCCATCCACCAGAGGTGCATTGACGATGTTACCCAGCAGGTGATGAAACATTTGCAACCAAAGCCACTGGCTCAGCGAGCATGTCTACAACCTCATATACAATCCGAGTTACAAACCTTCTCAAAAATTTTAAACTCTATACTTTTGCCACACCCTATAATTTACTTATAAGTTTGTTCCCCTCTAAACCTTTAGCACCAGCTCATTAGTTGGTGGCCGATAGGAAATACCTTTAATTTCATAGTACCTCTAATGTTTCTTCCCTATAACCAAACATTCTGCTATTGACTCTTGTAGGACACCCTCTACAGCGCTCCAGTTTGCTTCTTAAAACAAATTGGTGGAGAAACTCAGCAGGTCTGGCAGCATCTGTGAAGAAAAAAAGAGTCAAAGTCTCTAGTCATGTAATTTTTGGAGGGCTCCAGGCATAGAGGACTTGACACCCAGTAGAAATTTCAATTTCCTAGGCAATTCTGTGCCAAGATGAGATAGCACTCCACCCCCACCCCCACTCCCAATGCCTAGCTCCTATCTGCATTGGAAATGTTGGCTAGCAGAAAATCTAGGCCTTAAGGTTTTCTATGAATTAAATGTACGTTTTAAATCGGCTTTCATCTCCGTGAGCAGTTAGGTAAGGGGTAGGTTAGAGGTGTGGGCAATCGATGCTTCAGCAAATGAGCCTTTTGTTGATTGGGGAAGTGTTTTTTTTTGCATTTTTCATGTTGTTAAAATTTGCAGCATGTGCAGTACTTGCTCATGAACAGCCCGCACCTGTGGACGAAACAATTGATTTTGCATCAATTTGTAGTGACACACGATGAAAAAATATCTTTTATAATTGGACTAGAATTACCTAGTAGGTCTGCTATGTACGTATCCACCTACAATTAAGACAGATGGAAGTTGAATAACTGCAGCTATTTGTCTTTCAGAGCCACAGAAGAGTACTGAACGAAGCTCCTCCCCTGCTGCTCAGGAACTGATGACTAGATTGGGCTTTCTGTTAGGAGAAGGGATTCCAAGCTCTACTCATTTAGCTATGGACGAGAAGAATGAAAAAATGGTATGCATATTAAGGATGAAAGATATTTATTTTGGAAATATGGGAAGATGCTGCTTGGCATTCAATTTGGAATTTTACTTTAGAAGCTCACAGCTGGAGAAAGCCATTCAGCTCTTTGAGACTGCTCCACCAATCACTATAATTATGATTGACCTTACTAACTCAAAGCTGTATGCCTGCTTTAATGCCATACCTCTTGACGTCTTCAAAATCTAAAAATTATCTTTGTTTCTTGAATATATTTAGTGACTTGGCCACCGCAGCCTTCTCTGATAATAAATGAACATGTGGAATTCTCTATCCTTTGAGTGAAGAAACATATCTGTATCTCAGTGCTAAATGGTCTATACCAAATATTGAGACTGTGACCCCTGGTTCTCAATTTCCCCACCAGTAAAAACATCCTCCCAGCATCTAGTCTCTCCAATCCAGTTAGAATTTGATATGTTTCAGTCAAATCCTTCTCAAATCTAGTGGATACAGGCCCACTTGAACGAGCCTGTCCTTCTATCCCTGGCATCAGCCGAGTGGACCTCCACTGCATTCCGTCCATGACAAGTACGTCCTTTTTGGGTAGAGAGACTGATACTGAATGAAATACTCGGGTGTGGTCCCATCAAGGCCCTGCCTGATTGCAGTAAGACATCCCTACTTCTCCACTAAGTGGATGATCCATCTCAGCCACCTCCAGTGGTCCCCAGCATCACAGCTACCTGTCTTCAGCCAATTCAGTTCACTCTATGTGACATCAAAAAACGGTTAGAGGTAGTGGATAGTGCAAAGGCTGTGGGCTGTGACAACATTCAGGCAATAGTACTGCAGACTTGTGCTCCAGAACTTGCTGCTCCTCCCGCCAAGCTGTTTCAAGACAGCTACAAACATTGGCATCTACCCAACAAAGTGAAATATTGCCTGGGTATGTCCTGTAGACACACAGCAGGACAGAACCAAACCGGCCAATTACCACCCTATCAGTCTACCCTTGATCATCAGCAAAGGGGTGGAAGGACAAAAAGGCTGAATTCCAGAGATGAGATAAGGTAAGAGTGACAGCCCTTGACATCAAGGCTGCATTCGACTAAGTGTGGCGTGAAGGAGCCCTAGCTAAATAAGTCGTTGGGTCTTGGGGGTGAACTCTCCGCTGGTTAGAGTCATATCTGGTACATGGGAAGATGTTCGTGGTTGTTGGAAGTCAGTCATCTCAGCTCCAGGATATCATTGCAGAAGTTCCTCAGGGTAGTGCTCCTTTTTCTGACTGTCAACCAATTCTTGAAACTTGCCAATATATTTGTTACGGCAGGGAAATGGCTAAACCCCTCTGATAATTAAACTAAAACACAAGTCCCAATATGTTATGACAGCAGTAGGGGTTTCCTCTAATAATTACCCCCAAAACACCAAGAGAAGCTAGTCTTTCCCCTCTTAATCTATTAAGAGTGGTTAAAAGAAAGAAAATCCCTGATCTCCACTTTACAAGTAACAAGAAACAGTTTGTTTATTTAATCCAACAATGACCAAATTAACAAAATTATTTACAAAATTACGAACAAACCGACAATTCCCCTTATGCTACTAACTACTTCCTAACTGATGTAAGCTCCACTGGTATGCTGTTTAAATAAAGACAAGTCCCATTAATATAAGCCCAAGTAATAAGAAGCAATAAATTATATTTTAGTCTGTGTTAATTTGGAGAGATTATCTCCTGGAATATTCTGTCGTCTCAAGTCTCTTCACAAATATCTTTCCTCTGTTAATTCTGCAATCAGGAATATTTTATCTCTATAATATTTTTCAGTGAGGACTTTGAGCTAAAATACTGCAGTACCTTTGATTAATTAGATGGGCTTTCTCTGAGAGCTGAATGGTGCTAATTCTGGCAGGTAGCAGTTGTCTGTCTCTTTCAGATGGCAGTTGGCTCTCCCCGACTTTCCAAATGCTCTTGTCTTATATATCCATAACAACAGAATCAAATTAATATAATGTGATTGGTTTCAGGTTGTCAATACCATTAGATTTAAATTCAATTGGCTTTCTGTATCTAGGCGCTTCGTTTAAATTAGTTGGCTAAATTCAGACTTGTTCTCTTGGGGAAAGAAAGTGTTGCTTGGCTGTTCTATACAAAATGTTTCCATTTGGGCACTCTTTATGCACCTGCATTTATAAGCTTTGAAGCATAGACGAAGCACAAGCTCCTAAAGGGACCACAGCACTCTTTCTTTTTTTTCTCCCCCACAATCATTTTTACCAACAAATTCTAACTTCCTGCCTTGCAATTCATGAATAGTCTACCCAGTGAGCCAAGTTAAAGCACATATTACTCTATCTCCTAACTTGCCCACTAGTCCCTTATGAGGCATCTTATCAAAAGCCTTCTGAGAATATAAATACACAATATCCACTTTTTCTCCCTTATCTATTATGCATGTTATATTCTCAAAAAAAAAACGTTCAGATTTGTTAAACATGATTTGCCTTTAATAAACCCCATGTTGGCTTTGTCGAATTCTGGCCAGTAAATATTGAATAACCCTGGATATTTGGTTCCTAGCCTTGATAATCCTGCAGCCATGTCTCTGTAATCGCAACCATGTCACAACCGTTCATTTCTTGTTGCAGTGCTAATTCCTCTAGCCTATTGCAAATGCTCTGTGTATTGAGAGACAGCTTTTAGGTTTGTCTTTTTAACCTTGTTAGTTGTCTCTGCTTTATTTTGCACCATGGCCACATTTGTTTTTTGCCCTTCTTTGTTCTGCCTTCAACTTTTGCTTCTTCCCTTTCTGTTTTTTCTTGTTTCTCCCTCCTCTATCACTCTGCTCAGGTTCACAACCCCTGCCATTGTAGTTTAAGTACTCCCTTACAACTCTAGCAAACATCCACCTTGAAGACCTTGGTCTCGGTGCTGCCCAGAGTAACCTGTGCTGCCAGTACTGGTCCTGCTTTCTCCAGAACGGGGGACCCACTGTCCTAGGAATCTGAAACCCTCCTTCTGATGCCATTTCTCCAGCCAGGTATTTATCCGGCATATCCTATTATTTTCACTCTGGCTAGCACGTGACATCCTATCATACTACTTTTCTGAGGTCCTTATTTTTAATTTATATGCTAATTCTCTATTCTGCTTGGAGAACCTCATTCCTTTTTGTAACCTATGACACTGATACTGATATGTACCATGGTCACTGCTTTTCAGTCTCTCCCTTCAGAATGCTCTGTTACTGCATTGAGGCCTTCTTGACCCTAGCACCAGGGAGGCAACATACCATCCCTGGGGTCTGTCTTGCAGCCACAGAAACATCTGTCTGTTACCCTTACAAAGCCCTGCCATTATTCTTCATCCCATCTTGTGCACCAGATCCACTGGTGTCATGGACATGTCTTCCACTGCTAACCCCTGAGAAGTTCACTCCACCCAAGTTCAATCATCCTTTACCGTCTTGATATGAAGTTGAGTTTACCTGCACAAACCGGTTCCTTTGGTTGACCTTCTAGTTATTAAACAATTATTGTGTGAATGTTTGTTTTCTAGACCCAATTGTTTCACTTTACATCCTTGACAGTTATCAATTAATGTTCAGGGAGTCAGTCCATGTTCAACGCTGACGAGCAGTACTGCATCTCCAGGGACTGACAGCCCATGCTCAACCCTGAATAGCTGCATCAACAAACCACTACAAAAAAAACCTAGTCCCTGTGGAACTATTACCAGCTTAAGTTCCACACTGGAAAGCAAAGACAGTGGCATTATAGGTAAGCAGTTCGGTTGATGAAAGTATGTAATGCCAACATACCCTATGCTCATTCTTTGACTGTCACTTTGTTGAAAGTGATTCAATTATTTTTAAAAGGCTAGTTTTTAGAATTGCTATCTAAATCATTTTGTGCAAATAGCGTAAACTAAATGTGTTGAATTGTTTTGCTATTTTGATTGTTTACAATTATATTGATATTCTTATGAAATGTATTTTTGAGTTAGTAAGAATTAGTAAAATCTTGCTTTTAGCCTGTTAGATTAGCTTTTTGTGTACACTTTTGACATAATGGTGCAATCAAACATATTCACAACGTGCTGCTGCCGAAACTGTCAGGAAACATGCAAAAGCGAATACACAGTAAAACCATGATTGAAAGCCATTGGAGGAATATCGTGGAATAAAATGATACCCATGCTGCTGATGTGGTATACATGGAGTTCCAGAAGTTGTCTGATATAATGCCACACAGATTCTGTGATTCAGTGTTTTGTATTACCATTACTTGAATTTGTAATCATAATGTCAGTGATTCTTAGCTGAAAATCATTAGAATTAATTTCAAATGAGCTGATTTCTTATGGTGCATGGCTAGGCATGAAAATTTTTGAAGATTGGAAAATTAAACTCTTTTTAATATACATTGTGTTATTCTGCTAAGCTTTCTAAGTGACTTAAAGCTGGCATGCTACAATTAAATCTATAAATAAAGAGGATATGGGAAGAAGTTTAAATGAATTTTTTGCCTCCGTATCCACAAAAGAAAGGGATGATGTGGATATAGTAATCCGAGAGAAACAATGTGAAATAGTGGACAAAATAATTATAATGAGAAGTATTGGAGGAGCTGGAATGCTTGAAAGTGGATAAGTCACCAGTGGTGGATGGATTATACCTTTTGGATATTGCAGGCGTTCAGGGAGGAAATAGTAGTTATTCTGAGGATTATTTTCCAGTCTTGACTAGACACAGGTGAGTTGCCGTGGAATTGGAGGAATGCAGATGTGATTTGATTGTTTAAACAAAGGGTTCAGAGGAAATGCCAGACAGTTAGTCTTTCTTGGGTAAATTGTTAGAATGAATCCTGAGGGATCAGATAAACTTGTTTCAGAGATAGGAACTGCAGATGCTGGAGAATCTGAGATAACGAGGTGTAGAGCTGGATGAACACACCAGGCCAAGCAGCATCAGAGGAGCAGGAAAGATAACGTTTCGGGCCTAGACCCTTCTTCAGAAATGGGGGAGGGGAAGGGGTTCTGAAATAAATAGGGAGCGAGGGGGAGGCGGATAGAAGATGGATAGAGGAGAAGATAGGTGGAGAGGAGACAGACAGGTCAAAGAGGCGGGGATGGAGCCAGTAAAGGTGAGTGTGGGAGGGGATAGGTCAGTCCAGGGAGGTTGGACTGGTCAAGGGGGCGGGATGAGGCTAGTAGGTAGGAGATGGGGTGTGGGGCTTGAGGTGGGAGGAGGGGATAGGTGGGAGGAAGGACTGGTTAGGGAGGCGGGGACAAGCTGGGTTGGTTTTGGGATGCGGTAGGGGGAGGGGAGATTTTGAAGCTTGTGAAGTCCACATTGATACCATTGGGCTGCAGGGTTCTCCCTCCCCACAATAACAACCAAAACAGAATTCCCCTCGTCCTTACGTACCACCCCACCAACCTCCGGATCCAACGCATCATCCTCCAACACTTTTGCCATCTGCAATCCGACCCCACCACCAAAGACATTTTTCTCTCCCCACCCTTATCTGCTTTCTGGAGGGACTGCTCTCTCCGTGACTCCCTTGTCCGCTCCACACTCCCCTCCAGCCCCACCACACCCGGCACTTTTCCCTGCAACCGCAGGAAATGCTACACCTCCCCCCTCACTCCCATCCCAGGCCCCAATAAGACTTGCCACATCAAGCAGATGTTCACCTGCACATCTGTTAATGTGGTATACTGTATCCGCTGTTCCCGATGTAGAGGAGGCCACAACGGGGAGACCAAGCGGAGGCTTGGGGACGGCTTTGCAGAACACCTACACTCGGTTCGCACTAAACAACTGCACCTCCCAGTTGTGAACTTTTTCAACTCCCCCTCCCATTCCTCAGATGACATGTCCATCCTGGGCCTCCTGCAGTGCCACAACGATGCCACCGAAGGCTGCAGGAACAGCACCTCATTTTGCTTGGGAACCCTGCAGCCCAATGGTATCAATGTGGACTTCACAAGCTTCAAAATCTCCCCTCCCGCTATCGCATCCCAAAACCAGCCCAGCTTGTCCCCACCTCCCTAACTTGTCCTTCCTCCCACCTATCCCCTCCTCCCACCTGAAGCCCCACCCCCATCTCCTACCTACTAACCTCATCCCGCCCCCTTGACCTGTCCGTCCTCCCTGGACTAACCTAACACCTCCCTAACTCCCCACCTATACTCACCTTTACTGGCTCCATCCCCGCCTCTTTGACCTGTCTGTCTCCTCTCCATCTATCTTCTCCTCTATCTTCTATCCACCTCCCCTCCCCTACCCTCTCCCTATTTATTTCAGAACCCCCTCCTCCCCCCACCTCCCCATTTCTGAAGGAGGGTCTAGGCCCGAAATGTCAGCTTTCCTGCTCCTCTGATGCTGCTTGGCCTGCTGTGTTCATCCAGCTCTACACCTTGTTGATCAGATAAATTGTCACTTAAGAAGGCATTGACTAGTCAGGGAAAGTCAGTGTTGCTTTATCAAGGGAAGGTCATACCTTAGAAATTTGATTGAATTCTTTGATGAAGTGAAATGGAGGATCAATGAGGGTTGTGCAATAGATGGATTTTAGTGAGACATTTGAGGTCCCACATAGCAAACTGATCAAAAAAGTAAAAGCCCATGGGATACAGAGTAATGTGTCGAATTAAGTCAAAAGTTGGCTTTGTAACAGGAAAGAAAGGGTAACTGTTGATAGCTGTCTATGTGAATGGAAAGCTGTAGCAAGTGATGTTCAGCAGGGCTTGGAGTTGGGACCCATGCTGTTTGTTTTTAAACTTTAATGACTTGGACTTGAATATTGGGTGGGGCACAATTGGCCACTTATTGGAGAGTGTAGAGGATAGCTGTAAGCTCCAAAATGATATAGATGCATTGGTAGATTGGGCAGGAAAGTGTCCGATGGAGTTCACTCTGATAAATGAGGTGTTGAGCGGGACAGCACGGGTGCCTCAGTGGTTAGCACTGCTGCCTCACAGAACCAGAGACCCAGATTTGATTCCAGCCTTGGGTGACTGGCTGTGTGGAGTGAAAACATTGTCCCCATGTCTGCATGGCTTCTGCCACAAGCTCTGGTTTCTTCCAACAGTCCAGGGATGTGCAGGTTAGCTGGATTGACCATTCTAAATTAGTGTCCAGCGATGTGGTGGCAAGGTGGGTTAGCAATGGTAAATGTGCGGTTATGGGTGTAGGGTGGCATGCTCTTCCGAGGGCTGTTACAAAATCAATGGGCCAAATGGCCTCTTTCTAGACTGCGATTCTATGATTCAGTGACTCATCTCAGAGGCCAAACAGTAAAAGGGAATATACTGTTAACAGGAATGTGCTGAGAGGTGTAGATGAAGTGAGAGATCTTGGCATGAAAGTGCACAGGTCCCTAAAGGTAACAGTACAGGTAAATAGGTTGTAAAGAAGGCGTATGGTACACTTTTTTTTATTGGCAGAGGTGTAGAATACAAAAACAAGGATATAATGATGAAACTGTGTGTAAGAGACCTGGTGAACCAACAACTACAATATTGTGTGCTGATCTGGTCATCACATTACAGGAAGGACATAATTCTGTGGAGAGATTGCAGAGAAGGTTTACTAGAATGTTGCCTGGGCTGGAGAATGGTAGCTATGGGAAGAGATTGGAGAAGTTGGGGTTGTTTTCCTTGGAAAGAGAAGTCTGAGGGGTGACATGATCAAGGTATACAAAATTGTGAGGGGTAGGGATAGACAGGAGGGACCTGTTTCCCTTGGCAGAAACTGGTCTTGTCAAAAACCAGGGATCATAGATTGAATCTAATTGGCAGAAGGATAGGAGGGGATATTAGGGCGATGGGTGTCTGGAATTCATTGCCTGAGTTGGTTGTGGAGGCAGAGACCCTAACACTCTTTTTAAAAAGTACGTGGATCTGCACCTTAAGTGCTGTAAGCTTATGACTGTGGGACGTGTGCAGGAACGTGGGATTAGAAAGGCATCTGGATGTCTTTGAGTCGGCATGGACAAGATGGACCGAATGGCCCCTTCTGTGCTATATTTTTTTCTATGGCTCTGTGGTTGTAAGTCTGAATGGATATATGTTCTTCCGACTTGACCTATTTCATTCCAATTTTGAATGGTTCCATTTCCGGGCACCTTAACGATCTGAATAAGGTTTCAAGGTCGCAGGAGTATACCGGCAGGCAGGAAGGTGGTTTGAAGTGTGTCTACTTCAATGCCAGGAGCATCCGGAATAAGGTGGGTGAACTTGCAGCATGGGTTGGTACCTGGGACTTCGATGCTGTGGCCATTTCGGAGACATGGGTAGAGCAGGGACAGGAATGGTTGTTGCAGGTTCCGGGGTTTAGATGTTTCAGTAAGATCAGGGAAGGTGGTAAAAGAGGGGGAGGTGTGGCATTGTTAATCAAGGACAGTATTACGGTGGCAGAAAGGACGTTTGATGCGGACTCGACTACTGAGGTAGTATGGGCTGAGGTTAGAAATAGGAAAGGAGAGGTCACCCTGTTGGGAGTTTTCTATAGGCCTCCGAAAAGTTCCAGAGATGTAGAGGAAAGGATTGCAAAGATGATTCTGGATAGGAGTGAAAGTAACAGGGTAGTTGTTATGGGGGACTTTTAACTTTCCAAATATTGACTGGAAACGCTATAGTTCGAGTACTTTAGATGGGTCAGTTTTTGTCCAAGTGTGCAGGAGGGTTTCCTGACACAGTATGTAGATAGGCCAACAAGAGGCGAGGCCACATTGGATTTGGTACTGGGTAATGAACCAGGCCAGGTTAGATT